AGTATTAAAAAAAAATAACGTGGAGGACAATTAGGATTAAAAACCCCCTCATTTTCATGTGGTTAAATGCTCAGTTCGCATATAAAAAGGATTGTTAGTGACCCAATTCAGTTACCATTCCGTTTTGGTCACACCAGAAATTCAGCGTGATTATGTTGGGCCTTAAAGAGCAATTCAGCACAGGGCTGTATGGTGGGAGAGTCTGGGGAGAAACCACGGGTACTCGCTGCACGGCGTGTGCTGCACGAGGAGCCCTCGGAGCTGGGATTAGGCCTGAGGAGCAGCACGCATGTCTGTCTGCATTTTTAGAAATAAGTAACAGATAGATGATGGCTGTGTATCTAATAGGAAGGCTACCATGTGTATTTAAAGCACTTTTAATGGATTTTACTTCTGCAAATATAAAGAAAATAAAAATAAAGTATAGCCCCCCAGCGAACATTAGCACTTCTATAATACTGTTATTAGCATATTGCTAATACAAACAAAAAAGGCCTTCAATATTTCAATCAAAATAACCTTGAAGAATATGATCAGGTGTAGCTCTGCACCTAACTTCTAGTGGAAGTCTACGGAAGAAACACCTAACAGCCTTTAGGTCTTTTACGGTTTCATTTCCTCCCTGCTTATCCTAGGAGAATGATTGCAGAGTGTTCTTTTCCCAAAAATTCTAAGGAGGAAATTAAAAATACTGCAGAAGGGAAGACAATATAATTGTTTTCCTGGCGATTATTTCTCTTTGCCTTCATATCTTCTCTGAAACGGAATTTACTTACCTCTTCCATAACTGTCATTCCTGAAGACGTATTGTGCAAATATTTACATCCCCTGTAGTGCGCAAGACTCTTGCATCGAAGGTGGATATTTTGTGATAGTTTGGGAAAACAAAGCGGAAAAAAATGTGCCTAGGATCTAGGGATTATTTAGCCCTATTCAACAATGGTGAGAGCTGCCGTTAGCAAGGGTTTATGACAGTATTCCAGTCAGCCAAGTTTAACCCTTTATTTTGATGCAGAAGGTGATAACCCAGCTACGATCAGGGTTAGGGCTAGGAAAAAAGATGGAAGAGCTTGGATTATTACAGGATCTTTTAAATACTGGCGAGTTAGAGAAAGGAATAGAGCTGCCAAGGGAGAATTCATTTTTTGTTTTCATACGCATATAGATCAGCTACGGTGAAGGCCAGCCGTAACATTCAACAAAAGAATCACTGACAAACACGATTTATTTCTGGAGTCCCCATGCTCTGGAAGCCTACGTTGCAAACTGCTACCAGTCTGCATGAATGGATTAGCATTAAAAGGACAGAGCTGAAGAGATTTCCAAGGTAGGACAAAAAATAGGAGGGTTTTGGTCATGCTCAGCTCTTAGAATTGTGATAGCACAAGCCTTTTTTATTACCTTCTAGCCGCATGTCAATCTCAGGAAGTTAGCCTTGCTGCTCCAAAGATGGAGATATTGAAAAGTGATGCTGTTGTAAATACGGAAGTTCACAGCCCGATGGTGTTGGGGGGTTGGCATCGCTCTGCCCATTAAAATATGGTGATGTTAGTTTGGATGAGAACCTGAGTGCCAGGTTCTTGGCAAAAAGCTGGCATACCTCCATGCCTGATCTTTTACTTTTACCTTTACTTAGTGGCTTAGACCCTGAGCAAGCCTGAAGGGTGTCACGGTGACACGCAGTCTTTGGAACGCGGTCACCTTGGCGCACTATGCAACAGCACGAGGGAGGAGAATTTTGGCCGAGGAAATAAAAGGAAACCCCTACTCTTACAATAAAAAAATGCCAAACAGATGGTAACCAATTCAGTGCATGGTGAGATGTCAAAACACGTCGAGCACTGTATTGGGCCCTGTTTAGGGAAAATCATAGAGCTATTTATTCTGTTAGGCTTTTGAATGACCTATTAATTTAATAGTAGGGAATAAACCCTTGTTTTGTACAATTGCAGGTCTGCTGCTGATCCTTCAAGTTTAGTGAGTTGATCCACAGGAGCAGCTGCCAAGAAAAAAGAAGCGATATATAATTTGACCGTTATAAAGACAAAGAAGTAGTATCAAGATTGCTCTCGATAAAAATATCAAAAGTAGGAAGGAATCTCCACTTTCACTCTGAAGACTTCAGACCACCAATTTAAAGAAAAACGAAATACGGGCTCTTCGGAAAAGGTATTTATTTTTTACCTGAGACATCAGAAATGGGTACTGAGGTTTTATCGCTGAAACTGCACAGCTTTTCTCTCTCTCCTCTCCTCCCTCCGTCTACCGCTTCAGCTTCTTTTCTTAATGTTTGATAACAGCTCTGGTGCAGCTATACTTTCTTGCAACTATTTCATTTTGCTAGTAGATGTTCTTGTTTATGCGAGTCTTTTACACAGCAAAGAAAAAACAGTAAGTGATCTTCTATCACATGGCTGCTTCTAGCGAAATAGGTGCTTAAGGGCCTTCTTGAAGGGAAACGGATCTAAACTGAGCCCTCACTGAAATTCTGAGGAAAACCAAATCTGCCCCAAAGAATGCTTTTAACAGCCAGCTTCTTTGCTTGCAAGCACTCAACAGTACACAAACAAGGAAATCCTTATTTGGGAAAATTAAGTTATAACCATGAAAATCGTAGCAACTGAACTCATAGTGTAGTCGAAGCTGCTGGGCGGCTGAGAGGCCAGTTACCTGAGGCAGACTTGCTCGCCAAGGAGCGCCGTGCAACGCACCTGGCCGGTGAAACCGATTCGGGCTACGGTGTGGGAGACCCTGAAGTAGTGTTCGTGCTG